AGTCATCTCCTGGCATAGCTGCAGGAACGGTTCCCTGAATTAGTTTCCTTTGACTTTGACAGCGGTCACTGTGTAAACACAGTCACGCACTGGAGCTATAACTCTCAATCTATGGAACATTCTCAGCAAACCCTCTTCCCCTGGCAATGACATACTTTTCACTGCTTCTGGGGAGCACTCCCAGCATCATGGGGGACACTTTTGCACGGTTCCATGGTGTAATCCAAGATTTATGGTATTGCGCCAAATACCGTGAGAACCATCCAAGGAGTGAGGGAGATCCCGCTTTAGTGCAAGTTACTGGAGTGGCAATCTGCTCACCTGGAGATAATTAGTGTCGTGTGGAAAATCTGTACACACGTGGACCAGGGCAGTTCAAATGCATGATGTTCAGGGCCATCTTGCACGTAACTCTAGCAAAAACTAAACCCAAATCTGCTGCTGCTGAACAGTCTTAGGGAGAGCCTGTGGGACAGGGCAGAAGTGCCCCTCCCCAAGGTTTCCAAGGCGGGATCTTTATGGAAGCAAACTGCCACATCCTTTCCCTGCAAAGCAGCTGTTACGTTTGAATGGCCAACCTGTCGGTTAGTAGCAAATGCTTTAGCTACTGAACCACCTGGGCTTCCCACCACACACAAGTATGGAAATGTCCACGTGTATGAATGCTAATTGAAAATCGAATATTAACTGGGTAGCTGACAGGATAATTTTTTTTTGTATTCTACATTTGCATATGGTTTCAACTATCCAGACATCAAAAACAGTTTTGTTTTTTAAGTGGAGGGAACAACAAGCAATTAAATCTGGGGTTTACTGCAAGAATACAATGATAAATCAATATGAAATAAGCTATTAAGATAATTCGTTGATTAAAAAAAAAAGATGTATCATCTGGGGTCTTAAAGACTTGAAGTTAAATAAGCAGCCATATCACAGAGAAGCAACATGCCCACATGGAAGACGCACTCCAACATGTGTGATCACAAAGTGTCAACTGGATCAGGTAACAGGGACAAGACCCAAAACAAATAATCATATCATCGAGAGCAAGAGAGGCCAGAGTGGAGACCCAAAACCCATCTGTAGAAAACAGAACATCCTCCTACACAAGGGTCATAAGGAAGGGATGAGTCAGCCAAAGTGCAGTATAGGAACGATAGCACACACAATATTCCTCGGGTACCTTGAGGCTTCTTCACCCCCATTATCATGACCCCCAGCTCTACCTTACAAATCCGGCTAGACCAGAGTGTGTATATTGGTACAGACAAGAGCTCGTGACACACGGAATCCAGGACAGATAAACCCCTCAGGAATAGAAATGGGAGTAGTAATACCACAAGGGTAGGGGGAAAATGGATGGAGAAGGGGAAGAGAGAGAGAACTGATGGCAATAATCAACGTATAACCCTCCCCCCACTGCAAAGGGGAAGAACAAATGTGGCGGAGGGAGACAGCCGTCCGTGTAAGACGTAAAAATAATACTTTATAATTTTTTTCAAGGGTTCATGAGGGTGGGAGGGTGGGGGAAGGAGGGAAAAAGAGGAGCTGATGCCAATATTTTCATTAAATCAAGAGTACAAAGTACCTGCTCATTCTACTACTGGCCAACAGTCATTTGATGGTTCTAACATGATATTTTTAAAATATAAAGATAAGTAACTGACACAAATACTAGAAAAAGGAAGCAAAAAGTTACATATAGAAAATCCTC